TCTACTTTTATAAATAGAATGTGGAAATTATCGTACAATATCATTAAGATTGCATGCAAGCAAAATACTACAGAAGATCATTCAAAACCGGCTAGAACCATACATGGAGAACTGCCCGAAGTTCAAGCTAGATTTAGAAGAGGCCATGGCACCAGGGATACCACCTCTGATGTCATATGGATCCTGGCTGAAAACAGAAAATACCAAAAGAATATATATATTTATTTGTGTTTTATTCACTATGTAAAGGCATTTAACTCTGTGAATCATAACAAATTATGGCAAACATTATGAAGAATGAGGATCCTAGAATTGTTCTCATGAGAAATCTATGCCTAGACCAAAAAGCTGTTGTACAAACAGCAAGGAAACACTAAATGGTTTAAAATTAGGAAAGGCATATGTCAGGGTTGGATCCTTTCCCCAAACCTATTCAATCTGTATGCTGAGAAAAAAATTATTTGAGAAGCTGAACTCTCTGAAGAAGAATGTGGCATCAGGTTTGGAGGAAGACTCATTAGTAACCTTCAGTGTGCAGATGGCATAACCTTGCTTGCTGAAAGTAAGGAGAATTTAAAATACTTGCTGCAGAAGATCGAACACCATAGCCTTCCATATGGATTGTACCTCAGTGTCAAGAAAACAAAAATTATCACCACTGGACTAATAGGCAACATCATGATAATGGAGGAAAAAAATGAAATTGTCAACCACTTCAATTTACTTGAATCTAAGTACACTTGACACTAATAGACAAGGAGATGTATTGCACTGGGAAAGTCTGCAGTCGGGGAACTCCAAATTACTGAGGAGCAGTGATGTTAGTTTGAAGACTAAGGTGCACCTGATCCAGACCATGTCCTTTTTCTTTTTTTTTGCCCACAAAAAGAAATTTTAATAAATATAAAATAGGACATATATAATGTGACAATTCCTCTCATAATCCCAGGCACGTGGTTATCTGCATAATGCCTGCTGATCACCATCATTCCTTTAAAAAGCAAAGAAAGAAAAGATTTCAAAAGAAGGGGTTGGTTGAAACGAGCACAGCAAAAAGAGGGTGCATACAGGAAATAAGAAAATACATCTAAATCTTTACCTATTAGAAAGGAACCAAGCACAAACATTCCCTGATAAATGAAATATTGTACTATTGTATCAATAGATATGTTCTCTGTACTCATCATTTAAAATATATATCTGTAAATTAAACTAGACTCACATATAAATAGCTGATGGTATCCCAGGGGACAATGAAACTTTTTAGCAAAAGCAAAAGACAGACACTTTTTAAATCTAGGTCCACCCTTCTCCAGAGAGAAAAAAAAAGTTATGTAATGATAGTAAATGGAAAGCTAATACAGAGTGTGGATGGAGTCAGCACCATGTGACTAAAGCAAGGCACAGAGTCCTACAGAACATAGGAAGACTATGGTAAATGACCCAGTGACTTCAACACAGGCTTAGGCACAGCAAAAATTGGTGGGAAGACAGGGAATCAGTCAGTGTTTCCTTCTGTTGCACACAGAACCTGAGTGACAGCCACCTTGTAAGCACCTAAAAACAATGGTCAATACTAGAATGTACAATCCTGCAACGATAGTAACAATAACTTGTGAACAGATATATAGATAAATCTGCTTGTTCAAAACGTGAGCGAAGTCATAAAGGAACATTCCCTTCTACATATACATAGGTATGTTGTTAGGTGCCTTTGACTTAATTACTACTTACAGGGACGCTGTGAACAACCAGTCTGAACCCTGTCCTGTCCTTTGTCATCCTTATGTCTGACACACATCATTCCTGCCCATTGCTGAAGTCACCATGTCAGTCCATCTCGCTGGGGAATCATCCTCAATTCTGCTGATTTCCTGGCTGCTGGTACTAACGATGTTGATTGTTAATCCAAACAAGATGAAATAATTGACAACTTCAGTCGTCTCTCCATCTATTTTGATGTTGACTGTTGGTCTTGTCACAGGATCTCTGTTTCCTTGCTGTTGAGCTGCAGTCCATACCAAAGGCTGTAATCCTTGATCTTCTGCAGCAAGAGCTTCATATCGTCCTCACTTGGAGCAAGCAGGGAGTGTCATGTGCATAATGCAGGTTGTTGATGAGTCTTCCTCCAGTCCTGATGCCATACTGCTCCTCTTAGAATCTAGTTTCCTAAATTATTTGCTCAACATATAGACCGAATAACTATGGAGGATACAACCCTGTCACGTTTCCCGATTTAAATCATGTAGGTTCCCTTACTCTGTTGATTTAAATCATGCAGGGTTCCCTTACTCTGTTCACACACCAGCTGCTTGATCTAGGTATAGATTTTGTATGAGCATAATTAAGGGTGGGATTCTCTTCTCAGTATTAGCCATAATTAGTAACGATCCATACAATCAAATGACTTTGCAGTCAGTAAAACACTAGAGTTGAGACTGCTTATGCATACAAATTTGTAAAATGCTGCATGCATACTTACATTGTGTGTGTGTGTGTGTGTGTGTGTGTGTGTGTGTGTAAAATAGTACTTACGGGCACAGTTAAAGAAACTACTTATATATTGAGACTGAACTACTTACTGGCTGTGAAAGGTGGGAACCATAGTCTCAGGAGATATCTAGGTCAATTGGCAAAAACAGGTCTTAAATACAGTTTTCAAAATGTGGGGCCAGTGAGTCACATCTCGGTTGTTTAAAGTTTGCTGGTGACCATCTAAAATATAGCCATTGGTCATCTACTGTCTGGAACAAAAGAGAATGAAGAAAACTGAAGATTCAAGGAAGTCCAAAGGACCATAGGCCAATAGGAACCACAGCCTCGTCTATCCTGAGACCAGAAAAGCAGGGGGCCAGCAACCAGTAACACAGGTGGAGGGTCCTTGCTAGCATGGGGGGAAATATAGAACAAAATTAAAATTCAGATTAATAAATAAAAGGCTTTACTACTCTGAAAGGGACTGGATGAACTCCTAAGGGTATTTCCCAACTTGAAAGTGAAGATACTACTGGTGTTTCTTTGAGTCAATTAATTAGGCATATAAAATATATATATAGTTTAACACTAGGAATGGCTTTGCCCCTTAGAGCAGTCAGCCCTACAAGACTAAATGGGCAAAAACATTTGCCCAAAACCAGAGATAAGAAGGCAGGCCAACAAAGGGACACTGGCTGAATGGAAATGGGGATGTCAGGGAGGAAATGAGAGTCTGGACACATTGTGATTGGAACTAGTATAAAAAAAAGTATGTAATGTCCTACCAACTAGATAGTCCTTCAGTTTTCTTTTACTGAATTTCAATAAATCACTGATTTTTTTCCCTTTATAACATTCCTTATATTTCCTTGTATAAACTCTAAACTGACTTTTCCAACTATCACTAAGTTCAGAATCCCCTGGACTTTGTCACTCCCAGTTTGCAAACTCCTGTGTCTCTCAATAAAGTACTTTACTTGTCAAAAAAACCCCAAACAAAAAAACTAGTTTCGTGCCATGTAGTGAATGAAAACTAATTTGCCAATAAACTTTTATTAATTAATTAATACACAATAAAACATTAAGCCCTTTGGGGAAAAATTGAAGATCATAAAATAACATGTCTTTAGAAACAGCAAAACATTGATAGTAGTAGTGTAAGTTATCAGCAGTCTCAGATGAAAGCTCAGATGGTTAAAGTTCTGCTACTCACCTCAAAGCTGGCAGTTTGAACCCAGCCAGACGTGCCTCAGAGGACAGGCCTGGTGATGTGTTAGAATGGACGTGAAACCTTTCGGAGGGCAGATCTACTGCACATGTATGTGTTATCTGCATGTCAACACTGACTCCTTGACAGCTCTCAGTAACAAAAGATACCAGTCAATTTCCAAGTTTTTCCCGAGTATCTGCTTTTTTACTAGTCTAATCTTTGAGATAGCGCAGGAGAGGAAGACCCCGGATGAGATGGTTTGGTACAGTAACTGGGGCAGTGGGGGTTGGTGTGTTGGGATCAGTGAGACTGGCTCAGGACAGGGCAGGCTTCAGAGTTGCTGTACATAGGGTTGCTACGGGTCACAGGCGACTCAGTGGCACATAGCAGAAACAAACTTCAGTTGAGAACAAAACAGATGAAAATCTCATTACTCAAAGATGTGTTTAGAGTCAGAGTTAAGAACTATACTTGTCCAATCCCATTAAGGATAGGACAGGATTCAGATTGAGGGACACTATAAGCTATACTCAACTCCACAGCACCTAACAACAACCATTTCATGCCACAGGGACACTGAACAATTATTGACAAGAATCAGGTAAAACAGCCAGGCAGGCAGAGATCAGAAAGCATGTAATCTCTGGACATTGGTTTCCATTCTGATTCCAGAAATAAGCGACCTTGTGTCTTTTAAGCTCTCTGAAATGTGGTTTTGTCATCTGCAAAACAGATATAATAGCCTGTACTATAATGATGAATCACTGAGGTATTTAACACATGCAGAATGCGTAGTGCCTCACGTGTCTCACTGCCGTGCTCATCTTCAGTGATGACATCCAAAACCCATTTCATTGCTCAGTGATGTTAGTTCAGAGATGAGGGTGTGAAGTGAGGAAAGAAACTGGAATGGCCCGAAGCATGCCTCCTGCATGAACACACATGAGGACTTGGGTTGTGGGGTGGGGAAAGGCATGTATGGAACAAGTAAGTGAGGGGAGAGATGCTTGGAACGAACAGCCCCCTGAAATGCTGGAGGCCAGTAAGGATAACCCATTCACCACCACCTATCTGTCACTTTGTGGTACTCTGGTGGCTTGCCTGTTGCTCTGCTCCTGGAAGCGATGCCATTTTTCAAATGCCGGCAGTGGTGCTTCCAGATGGCCCAGATAAGGAAGAGAGACCTAGAAAGTGAGTTCTGAGAAATTAGCCACTGAAAATCCCAGTGGTCCCCAACAGAACACTGTACTGTGTCAGGCTTCGAGGTGAGTGACTCCCTCTGCAGAGGTCAGTGAACTCAGTCTCACCAGTGACCATGGTGACAGCTGGATCGATGTACCTTCCGCTACGTGGTGCACAGTGTCCCCAAGTGTCAAAGCCTGCTCAACCGCAGCTAACAAGGAAAACCAGTCTGACCACATCTTTCTTCTGCTTGGATGACCCACCCTAAGGAGACTTGTGTATTTGTGCTTGGAGTTTTTGCTTTTTTCAAGATGACATAAAACACCCTTTCTTGTTTTAGTTGCATCTTCCTGCCCATCATTCCTCGCCATTGTCCTTTGATTGTTGTATTGTGTGCTGTTGAATCAGAACTGACTTACTGACCCTCCAGCGGGTTTTCAGAGGCAGTAAATCACACGGGAGGAGGTTGCCCATCCTTCTCCTTCAGAGCAGCTGGTGGATTTGAACTGTGTGCCTCTGGCATTGCAGCACATCTTCTTCCCTTTAGGCCACCAGAGCCTATTTTCCTTTGATTATATTTCCACTAACGTAATACATTTTTTTTTGTTAGAGGAATGACAGTTAATAATCAACAATCAAATAAACAATGATAAAGAATTTTTAAAAACATATAAAATATTTTATGACCAGTGAAATTAAAAATTGAGCATAGACTTTGTTGAAATTACAAGTTGAGAATAAGAGGAATAAAACTGAATAAATACTGGCATTCCTGACGGTGCTGTTCCTGATGTATTGTCTTATCTTGTTTTATTAAAGCTTATAGATTTTCAGTGGAAACTGGGAATGGCTGTGAGCTCGGACAGCTGCAGATCTCTTAAGTACCCTTATGTTGCGGTCATGCTGAAGGTGGCAGATCCCTCAGGCCAGGTCAAGAAGAAGTCCTTCGAGATGACAATTCCACAGTTCCAGGTTTGTCATTCACCCTACTACGTCCTACCTAATTTCTTTATAATTGCTGTTTTGAAAAATGCATAAAATATGTCATAAAGGAAGATTGTAATGGTTTTTATTTACACGTGGTTTACTTTTCTATTTATTAAAAAAATAAATACATCCGCATTTGTTTTCTGAGGGAAGTTGAGAAATTTCCTTTAGTCTTTCCACGTCTCCCATTCGCTGCTGTTGAGTTCATTCCAACTCACAGTGATCTTCCACCAGGGGAAAGCTTAAGAGACCGTTTTGCTTCCCGAGAGAAGATAACAGATTTGTACCAGCAGAGATGCTCAGCCTTTTGCTTAACAGTGACCCAACCTATCAACTAAGTTGCCTCAGCTCCATTTTCCCATGTAGTGTGTTAAATTTGTGTACTAACTCACTTGGTAACTTTCAAAGCATTCATCTCTGTGAACATGGTAAGCACATTTTCCTGTCTTGTGGCTGGCTTTATTAGCTAGACGTCTCAGTAACGGAATGTATTTGTTGTTCTTGTTGTTGTCATGTGCCGTTAAGTCAGAGCAGGTGGTGGATCTCACTCCATGCTTTTGAGTTGACGGTACACCGCCTAACAGGTAGGCCACCAGAGCATCCTAAATTTTATTTAGAGTGGCACTGTTACTGTTCTGTCTATTGCTATGATATTGGAAATTATACCACCCATATTCAGATACTGACAGAGTCATCTTGATGGCCAAGTTTCAGCAGAGCACCCAGACCAAGTCCGACAAGGAGGAAAGGCCGAGTGATCTTCAAAATTAGTAAAAAAAATCCTACAAGAGGTTCACTATAACGCTGGAGGGAGTTCTGGTGGCTGAGTGGTAGTGAGTTGTGCTGCAAAAGCAGAGACAAGTGGTTCAAATCCACCAGCTGCTCTTGTGGGAGGAAGATGGGCAGTTAACTCCTGTGTGATTTCCTACCTCTGAAAACCCACTTGAGAGTCTCTATGAGTTGGTTCCATCTTGACAGTACCTTATAACAACAACATAATGCTAGAAGTCATGAGTCCCCTGGGTTGGAAGCTATTAACTACTGGAAATGGTTCAGCCTTGACCTTCCAACAAAAGGCGGAAATTATCAAACAATATCATTAATAGCACATGCAAGTAAAATCTTGAATATTATTTTAAAAATGACTGGAACAGAATATCGACAGGGAAGAGACTGTGGCACAGGGGTAGCATTGCTGACATCAGGTGGATCTTGGCCAAATATAAAAATATTTACTTGTGTTTATTGTCTTTGCAAAGACATCTGACTGTGTGGATCATAACAAATTATGGCTAACATTACAAAGAATGGGAATCCCACAGCACTTATTTGTTCTCATGCAAAACCTATACTTAGAGGTTGGATCTATATTGTACTAGAGCTCCGATCTTTAAGAAAGAATTTACAATCCTGAATGCAGCCTTCTAGATTTAAAATGGGTAGAGCTAGCCTGTCTTTTTTTTTATGTTGTTGTTTTCAGTCAAGAGCTAATATAATACTGAGGAGCTCAGGTGATACAGTTCATAGGAGTCGCACTGCTAACCTAAAGGCGTCTCACCTCTCTGGTTGTTTTAGTTCAAACCACATAAAGCTTTATGGGAGAAAGATGGGACATCTCCTCCTATGTGATTTACAGGCTCCGAAACGCGAAGGAAGGGAGCTCTGGTGGCCTAGTGGCAAGAAGCTTCACTGCAATCTCAGAGGTGCACAGTTTGAATCCACCAGATGCTGTCCCGGAGAAAGAGGGACAATCTCCTCCTGTACCAGTCAGATCTGATTTGACACCACACACACACACACACTAAAAAAAAAAAATAAAAAGAAACCCGAAGGAGGGTTAAGTGTGAAACCCAGTGGAGGGCTTTCCAAGAGTTGTTTGTTGACAGTGTTGACTATATAATAAATGTTTCTGGTCTGCTCTTAAAAGAGTTTTCTTCCTCAGGTGATATTTTTTTTTAAAAAAAAACTAATCAAAGGCTAATTGTCCACTATCCAGTAATATTCTTGCTTGCAGAAACAAATTTCACCTGTTAGTTTCCTCAATAATTTTTGAGAAAGTAGCAATAAAATTACCATACAGTGAAAAAACTCGATTTAAGATTTTAAAACCAAGGTTAATACTATGTTTTAAAAGCAAGATTAATATTGTGTTTTCTTTTACTTTGCAGAATTTCTACAGACAGTTCAAGGAAATTGCTGCAGTTATTGAAACTGTATGAAAATGGACTACTTTGCTGCTAAAATGGCTTTTGCTCCAAAACCATGGACTTCACTTTCTATAACAAAACTACATAAGAAACAAATGATATTTACTTCATGACAATTGCACTGTTAATTTTCCACTTTTGTAAGTAATAAAAAACTGAAAAACAAGAATTTTGATATCCAGCTTCCTGAATTTACTAAAAGCCACTGATTTGAGCAATGTAAAAAGATGAACTCAGATTATATGTATTCTATCTCAATTGTTAAAAAATGAATGCAGAAAGATTCTACTGAAGGCAACATAAGTTTATATATTAATCCAATAGTTTGATGAACTTTTCCCTGGAATTTAGGTGAAAGTTTACGGAGAAATTGGTTTTCCATTCTACATTTCATATATTTTTGCCTCTTGGCATTGATTTTAGTCCTCACATTGTAACACTGCTCACCCCATTTCCTCCTTGTGATTCCCATTTTCATTTGTCTGACTTTCCTATCCCTTCTTACCTTCTGAACTTTATCACTGGGAGAATACTGCCCTTTTGAACTCATACGGTTGGTGGGTCTAAGGAGTTTGTATCTCCTTGGTGTTCTTGTTCACCTTATAAACCAGCTTATTATGTAACTAAAAGTTAAAACCACAGAGATGAGCTCAGTTTCAGGCTTGAATTTATAAAAGGGCCTTAGTCTAAGGGATTTCAGTAGATCTCTGGTGGCCTAATGGTTAAGGACTTGTGTTGCCACCCCAAGACAGCTGGTTCGAATCCACCAGCATCTCAGCTGGAGAAAGATGGGCAGTCTCCTGTGTGATTATTGCCTCTGAAAACCTGCTGGGAGCTATGAGACAGTTCCTACTCAAAGGCAATGAGTTATTGTCTATCAGACCAGTTAGGCTTGTTTTTCATGATTCTGAGTTTTGTTCCACCTTTTCCTTCCCAGCACCTCCTATTGTGATCCCTTTCAGAACAGTAGAAGCTGAGACTTCTGGTCTCAGGGTCACGGCAGCTCTTGGAATGGCCCATTAGTTCTTTGGATTGTTTCCACGTGTCTTTGACTGTCTTCATTATTCTTTGGAGGGGAGTTATACCTTAGGTGAACACTTAAAAGCTTTTAAGACCGTAGCTGCCACTCACCAAAGTAGGATATAAAACGTGGTGGACAGTGGTAACACCAGCTGACCTAGATTTCTATGTAGACTGTGGACTTGAGCTCCCAGACCATGTGATTTTTCCCTTAAGGAAGTCAATAATGTTAAAAGGTACTAGGAAATGGGCTCTATATAACTTAAGTCTGAGATTTAGAAAGTTTTTATCAATCAGAAAAGTAGTAGTTGATTAGTAAAACTTTATGAATTCACTCTGATAACACTGACTTATTCTAAAGGCAGGCAGCGAGAAGAGTGAGGCTACTTCGCTTAAGTATGGACTCGGCTCCATCCTTACCTTCATGAAACTGACGTTCGACTGTGGCTACTAATATTTATAAAAAGTTTAATAAGAGATGTGGTACCTGCCAGGAGACCCCAGTGCCACATGTGTATTGAAGGTGTTTCCAGAACAACGGAAAAAGGAGTCTTTAAATGTCTAGGTTTGAGATCCTAGGATTCAGGCGAGCTCTGGTGGCCTAGTGGCAGGAAACTGCACTGCAATCCCAGAAGTGCACGGTTCAAATCCACCAGATGCTCTGCTGAAGAAGGAGGAACAGTCGCCTCCTGTACCAGTCAGATCCAATTTGACGGTACACGCAAAAGAAAAAAAAAAGAAAAGGAAAAAAAAAAAAAGAGATCCTAGGATTCAGAAGGAAGACTCTGGGCATTTCTTGTATTTAATATGAGAGACATACACAATTAACATGTTTTATCATTTAAATATCCTGTGTATGCAGCTCTGGTGGCATAGTGCAATGTCTGTTGTGCTGCCAACTGAAGGCCAAAGGTTAGAATCTGCCAGCTGCTCCCGGGATGGGTGCCCCGGTTCCCTAAAGGCAGGGAGCGAAAGTTGCCGTAAAGATCAGAGGTGCAAACACCCCAGGCAGTTCATGGGAGAAAGCTGGGTGATTTCTTCCCATCAAGATTTACAGCCGTGGAAACCAGCTGAGTGTCCCCATCAGTTGGGCCCTACTCAATGGCAGAGGACTTGGTCTAGCTGGTCACAAAGAGGAGAGAATATATGTGACTGAAGCAGAGATGCCAGAATAATGAACTGCTGGGAGAACTGCCAGAACTTCCTTCTAAAACCTTTTTCAACATCAAATCACCAGGACGTGAATCAGTGATGCCTGGGTTTGGAAGAATTCTTCAGAACCTAGAGAATGCACCATAGCTTTTAGACACCAGCCTTCACCGGTTCTTCAGAGTCATCTGAGTTTGGAAGACATTGAGGCGTGCACCTCTGAGAAGACAATCCCCAGTGGAAGAAGCAATTCACAAGGTATTTCCTTTAAGAAAATGAAAACAGAGATTACATAGGTTATTATTCAGAAAATTCATCCTCAGTTTGGCTATAGTACTGATGACAGCTGTTCACACGGGTGTAAAGCAAGGAGGGCCCAGCTGGAATCCTAAAAATCCATTGTCATGCTACCATCCTTGCCATGCATCAAAACCCACTCAGACCTGACCCTCCACTGGGTTCCTGAGGTTAAAATTGCACAGGAAGACATTGTCTGTCTTTATCCTGTGCAGCCACTGGTGGCTTTGATCTGCTGGAGAGGCACAGCCTTTGGACAGCAGTGCAACTCCCTACAGACTAGGCCACCTGAGAGCTCCCTGTTACTGTCTCAGTAATAGCAGACTGTCTACACAGAACAAAGCTCACTAGGAACAGTCTTCTCTAAAGCTTTGACTCAGAGTAAGGACAAAGAGCTGAAAACATCCAGCCAGTCCTCAGAAAGGAGCAACATGCTGGACAAAGTGGAAGGTCAGTGGAAAAGAGGAAGAGCCTCAATTAGATTGACTATAACAGTGACACCAACAGACGGCTTGGACACAGCAGAGACGATGAGGGTGCAGGAGAGGGCAAAGCTTTGATCTGTTGTTCACAGGGTCAACTTTCAAAGACACTCGACAACACCAACCATGTACTTTAATATGTTTCCTGATTCTGTTAACTGAGACTCATTATTTGAATACAGAGAGGGGGAAAGATTTAGCAATTTCTTCCGTTGCGCATATATAAAGTTTGCCATCCACGTTTTTAAGAGTGACAATCCCTCAACAATATGTATCATAGTGCACATTATTTCTATTTCACAGAAGTTTTGAAGAAGGATATACTGTGTCACCAGTTGTCATTTTCAGATTTTGTAACATAGCCAATCAAAACTGCACTAAGTGATGATTAACTATTTGGGCACACAAATGTTAAGAATGAATTGTTTTTATGTTATTACATTGAGTATATATGCATATATAAAAGAATCTATGTGCACAAAGCTCAGAGCTGGCTTGATAAATTTTATTCTGAGTTCTAGATCACATTGCTGTTGGGTTGGGCTGTCAAGTTCAACTGTAATTTGTATGTCTTATTACCAGTTGAGGGCATTGTTGTAAGACATATTTATGTCATCTTTTATTGCTAATTAGGACAGATGACTGTATGGCACTTAAGCCCTTGCTTACTATATATTCCAAGGCCAAGTTAATTAAAAGTGTGAGAATTGTGTAGTGACATATTTATGTTTTGCTGATTTATAGAGATTTGATTAATGCTATCATTCTGTTCTCATGGAGTGCAGGTGCAAAACCTCCTTTAGGGACGTTATTTATGACTTGTTTCACATACTCCTTTTGTCTACTGTCAACACTAGAGCACATTTCTAATGACTTATTAAGGGATGTTAATGGATGGAGAGTATTTTAGAAATGCGTATGCTTCTATGCTCAGAACTTCTATTTCTCACTTCACATTATAAGTGACATGTTTAAAAACCTTATAAAAACATTAACAAGGCAGAGAGCATGATGGAAGCATCCCTAGCAGTATACCTAACAGTGGCTTACCCATAAGTACTTTAAGAACATCAGAGACTGGAGAACACACAGGAAGTCTATCTAAGAAACAAACCAAAATCCCCTTCTCTCTGCCTTCCTCCTCCCTGGAGGCCCCAGCTTCAAAAGTTAAAGTGGCTCACTTGCATTCTCACACTGCTCAGTCCTTGTCTCTCAACCACCCCATTTTTACACCTTCCTTTGCTCCAGCTGCAGTGTAACATTTCTGGGCTGAAGGTTATAGACAGGCAAAGAGACCAAAAGAAAAGAGCTGGATCACCCCCGTGGTGTGATGGATTTGATACAAGTAGTCTGAAATTGCACGCTTAAATAACTCTTTTCATTTTAAAGCTAAGGTGTGGGGGTTTTTTATTGTTTAAATTCTTATTATTACTTTTAATTCTTTTCAGGGAAATGCCCTTAGTTTTTGCTCATTAGCCGTATCAGCTGGCCTGGGACTTAGCTGCTGTTTTACAATAACATTATCTGTGGGAAAGTGCGTTTCAAGTTTTAAGCACTTGGCTTAAATGTAAACTTGGGAAAACAAACTCAAACTCTCAAGCTGGAAAATGTATGAGTAAGTGTCTAGTTTTCAAAGGTAAAAAATTGTCTTTGGGATCATCAAATAGAATCTCAAGCATTTTCATGCATTTGCTGCCCTCTCAAACCCCCCACCCCCCAGAGGAGGTTACTATGTGTCACTTTTACATAGCAAGCAAAGCAAAAAGTCACATTTATTAAGCTATTAAAATTTTGGAAAGTACTTGGATCTGCCTTTATGAAAGTGCTTAAGTAGAATGATTTTTCATAAACAAAAATATTATAGATTTTTAAAATAAAAATTATTTTTGACCAGTTTTAGAATTATGGAAATATATTGCAAAGAAAGTACAGGGAGTTTCCACATGCCCTACATCCAGTTTAATGGAATTATTAACATCTTACGTTGTGGTTGGGTGCTGATGAGTCACAGGCTAGAATTGCCCCATAGGATTCTCCTGGCTGTAACCTTTGTGGAAACAGCTC